GCAGAGAGTCCAAATCTTTGCCTTCCTTTGGCCCTGTGAATACACACCTATAATCATACTGTAGATCCAAGGTTTCTTTCCCAGTTTAGTGATGGAACATTGCAGCTGCCCTACTCATACAATGTTTGTCCAACTCTGGATTCAATGGACAAGGAATTCGCTTTCTTAAAAACTCAGCAGTGTGTTCCAGTTGTTCCTGTGGATAGACTAATTGATGCTGATGATTCTGGAATTGGTAATGACAACATGAGAGACCCTATTGCTGATAACAGTCTTATTTTGCAGGTATGTTCTAACTACGATCTTTAACCATTTCAATACCGTGCAATTTTACACCTTCCTGCCCAGGCCAGTTTTCAGGTTTCAGCGCTCTCACACTTTGAATTACAATTGCGCGGTCATACAACATTGTACCCAAACTAAAATTTTATCATTTTCTTCACACAACTAGAGCTTTCTTTTGGTGGTATTTAATCAACGCTGGGGTTTTTATTTTTTGCTAAATTAACAAAAAAAGACCAAAAATTTTGAAAAAAAAACACTGTTTCTGTTATAAAAGTTTACAAATAAATAATTGTTCTTCATAAATTTAGGCCGAGATGTATTCTGCTACATGTCTTTGGTGAAAATAACCCAAATTAGGATGTATTTTTTAGTTTGTAGGAAAGTTATAGAGTTTACAAACTATGGTATAGATCTGAATATTGATCAATCCTGAAGTACTGACAGCCAATCTAATATCTTGAGGTCCAAGAATGTCAGAACAGTACAGATATCCCCCAAATGACCCCTTTTTGCAGAGTAGACAGTCCGACGTACTTCATAAGAGGCATGGCGAGTTTTTTGAAGTTGTATTTTTTTGTCATAATTTTTCTGAAAATGAAAAAATTAAAAAAATTATTTTCACTATTTTTTTTTTTACATACTGTCACCAGTGCAGTACAGCGTCATCATATAACTGATCACCACTGTTAATAAAAAAGACCAAACATTTTTGAAGAAAAAACTATATTTGAAATAAATCATATCCAATTAAAATAAATAAATACATGTCTATATAAATGTAGGTCTAAATGTATTGGGCTAAATGTTTTGTAAAAAAAATCCCAATAAGTGTATATTAATTGGTTTGTGTGAAATACATATATTAGAATTTACGCAGCTGTAGCTGCTATACTTGTAATAGCTGTGATCAGTGACTTATAGTAGCACCATGATAGCGTGGTAGGCAATCTGGTGCTAACAGACACTTGCTGGGAGGGACACTAACTAACTGACTGAGACTGACATCGCTAGTGACACCAATACAGTGGTCAGATATAATACTGTAGTAATGACACTGGCTTGGAAGGGTTTAACATCAAGGAGCAGTCAAGAGGTTAACTTTGTGCCTAGCAAGTGTAATGTGTGCTGCTTTTACTCAGATACAGATGTCTTTTTTTCTCCCTGCTTTTCAGGGAGAAGAAACAGCCAGATCGCTGTTCTGTGTACACAGAGGTCTGTGTGTTTGTAAACACAGAACTTTGTGCTGTGATTGGACATAGCCGATCAGCAGGTTTCAGCCAAAATCATTCTCTGAAACCAGCTGACAAACTCTTGCTGTGTCTAATCACAGCACAGGTCAGCAGGGGGCCTGTGCATGTGCACCCCAAACCGAGAATAAAACCAGTGATGCACATGTACATTACCATACCTGCACTTGCATAAAAGTAAATTTACTGTGAGCAGATCAGCAAGTGGTTAAATAATAATTGGTCTTATTATGTAACAAGTTCTTATTTGTAATTTCTAATTCTTAAAAGTAATAATCAAGATCAGCTAATCTCAATTCCTACAGGTCAGTACATTGAATTGCTTGCTATGAGTTTCTTTTTTTACAATCACAGTCCTCTTCAGGAAGGCACCATATTTGTTCAGGTCTCTTTTCTGGTTATCTTCTACATCCTGGATTGGGATGGTGGATCAGGGATAACACAATTATGTAGGTAATCTTGCTAGTGAAGATCTTGGCTGTGTTAAAGAAGAATTCCAGGTATGGATAGTTTACACATAGCTATATTTTTCCAACTTGGATCAATGTAACTACGTATTGTATATACTGTACCTGAACAATTCCCCTGATACTCCAGTGATCTGTTACCTGCTACCCAAGTCATCTCCCCTATCTTCTGGGTCCCATGCTAAGTGGTTGGTCTGCTGCATTCTAAACACAGGAGATTGACTGCTGAACCAATGTAGCTATATACAGAATTAACAATACCTGGAATTAATAATCGTAACTAATTTTTGATACAATCCATCCCTTTCTACAGCCTTTTAACTTGTGACAAAGTTACAATGATGCTGTTTGGTTACTAGAAGAAGGGAGAATGAGGAAAGAGTTCCTACTGCCTACAGCTAATGATGTAATCATTTGGTAGACAACTTCATTTGACATGAGCTCCAGGACAGCTTTTTTTTCTCATACAAGTTAGGGTTTTTTTAAACACTAATAAGGTTGCTGTATATTGAGACATACCAGCATTGTATTTATGCTGACTTGTTCACTTTAGGAAGCTCAGCTCAATAAACCATTTTGAGTCTGGTATACCTAGGGAGGTTGGTGGCAGGCATCAACAATTCAATGTGATTGTAAGGCTTTTTTTTTTTTTTATCAAAATAAAAAAGAGGTTTAAACAGTACTTTCCTGCTCTATGCAATGTTCAAGTGGTCCTTACCTCCTCTTCTGGAGTCCCCTGCTATTGCTATCCACTTCCTCCTCTCCTGCTTGTGTCCCCATAGCAAGCCGTGTGCTATGAGGACACATGTGCAGGTGAGCTCCTGAGCTAGGCTGTGTGCATCTATAGATATCCACAGCATGGATGGCCTGCCCATGGCCCCTGCTCTCTTCTCACAGGATTTGAATGACAGCAGCAGAATCCAATGTTTTCCACTGCTTCCTGCTTCTGTGAAGAGAGAAAGAGGGAAGTGCACTGGATCGAGAGAAGACTAAGTGTTTAGCAAGAGAGGGGGGGCACATCAAGTGGGAAAACATATTTTACCTTAGTGATATAACTTTCAAACCACTTTTAGGTAAGCTTACCTTTTCGATGTAGTATATACCAGGTTGTAGCCTAAGTCACAAAGGGCACAAAGGGAGAAATTATTGCATATTTTGTTCAAAAAGTCATAATTTTATTGCTGTTCACTATTTTAGCCTAGATTTCTAAGCTCTTTCTAAAAAAGTGCTAATATTTCTGTGTTTATATGAGTGTGTGTGTGTGTGTGTATAATAATTACATGATGTATAGTACTATAAAATAATACAATAATAGTAAATATTAAGAGTAAAATAAACACATCAGTAATTTGTTTTGAGTTTTTGGTTCTTTTTAGGAAACTATGCCCTATAAACCACTCTTTTCTAACCTTGTCATGTATCCCACTGCTCCTAACCTTGTCCTGTGACCCACTAACCCCAAGTTTGTGCTATGACCAACTCAGCCCAACTTGGCCAGTAACTCAATCTCCTTAGCCTTGTCTGTGACCTACCACCACCAACCTTGTTGTGCAACCTATTTACCCCTAGCCTTCCCCTATGATCCACCTACCTGGTTCCTCCTATGACTCACTTCCCTTCTACTGTGACCCACCTTCTCTAACCCTTTCTTGTGGCCTATTCACCCTTTACTTTCTACCTTGAGCCACTCTCCCTGACCTTGTCTCATTTTTCAAAGACATTTGGAAACGTCTAATGGAGACCATATCTATTGAACCTATTATTTATAAACATGAACAGCAAAATATAGAACATACTGAGTAGCTGAAGTTGTGCTCTCCTGCCTAATTCGATGTTTATGTCCACAGTAATTCCACTAAACATACAGCATACACTGTGTACACAATACATTTTAATTGTCTTTGGTTTACTGGAAAATTTGGCATATTAATCATAAACAAATCTAGCACATACTACGTCATAGAGTTCATTTGACATAAAAAAAAAAAATTAGTTTATGAAAATTGTTTTCTCTTTAACTTGAATTCTATTTGCTTAAACTATGTACTAAGCATTATCTTAATATTAGGGTAAAAGCATTTAGGTACAATTACTTGACATGAGGTAAAGTTACTTGTTTTGTGCTAGTTGTTTTCAAGAGTGTGGGAAAATCATACTAATGAACATTAAAGGACTGTTTTGCATTTTTTAAAATTAGTTTCTGTGATGGAACTGATGCCGCTCGTGTGAAATGTCCCTAAATCTCAATCTGTAGTTAGGAAAATAACTCTAAAATCTTGTAGTACCCCAAATATACCTCAGAGCGCCGCTGTTGAACCAATAAGGGAAGGATGTGAGAGATACATGCAGTATGAGACAGGCAGTACAATTGCAAGAGTAGATATAGAGCATTTCTGCATGAGATGGGAGGACTTCAGGTCTAATAAAGAAGAAGATACCGTATTCTGGAATTTGAATTCAATTAAGGATTATACATTCTGCAAGGAATTCCTTTTATATATTCCCAACAACAGAAGGAATGGCTGTCTTGAATATGCATCATCAACAGTCTCTCCTGGAAATCAGATGGCAAGTAGTGATTTCATTATTTTCCTGGCTGTGTCATTCAGTCTCTGCTCAGTTTCAGTATTCCATTGTAGAAGAAATGAGGAAAGGTTCAGTTGTTGGTGATTTAGTGAAAGATCTTGGAATGAATGTGAAGGATATCACAGCAAGAAAACTCCGTATTGTGTCTGATGTTTCTGAAAAATATTTCAGTATCAATCTGGAGAATGGAGACCTTTTCATTGCAGAGAGGATAGACAGAGAGACATTGTGTGGGGCTGCAGCTGATTGTGTCCTGGCCTTTGATGCTGTGGCTGAGAATCCTTTAAATGTGTTTAATGTTAGGATTGAAATTCAAGATATAAATGACAATCCACCAACATTTCTTGATAAAACAAGTAGATTAGAAATAAGTGAATATGCTTCACCAGGAGCAAAATTTGTTTTGCAGAAAGCTGAGGATTTGGATATAGGAATGAATACACTGAAAAGCTACAAGCTGAGTCCAAATGAGCACTTTGTCTTAGGAGAAAGGATCAGCTCTGATGGCAGTATATTTCCTGAACTAGTTCTAGAAAAGCCTCTAGACCGAGAGACACAAAATTACCATGAACTAATTCTATCAGCTTTTGATGGAGGAAATCCAGTACAAACAGGCACTGCACTGATTAAGATTGCCATCACTGATATCAATGATAATATACCTATATTCACCCAAGAAGTATATAAAATAAGCATTAAGGAAAATATACCTTTAAATTCTACAGTTCTGCAGGTCAGGGCAACTGATGATGATGAAGGTGTAAATGCTCAGATTACATATTCATTTCGTACCCTGGCAAATAGCATTCTCCAGATGTTTACAATTAATCACATGAATGGAGATATTAGAACAAAAGGACAATTAGATTATGAAATAAAAAAACACTATGAAATATCTGTACAAGCCATGGATGGAGGAGGGCTGGCTGCCCATGCCAAAGTTTTAATAGAGATATTGGATGAGAACGACAATGTTCCTGAGATAACCCTCACCTCCCTGTCTTCTCCTATTCCTGAAGACACATCACCTGGAACTGTGGTGGCTCTCATTGCAGTTCGTGATAAAGACTCAGAAAAAAATGGAGAAGTTCATTGTCAGGTCATTGGGGATATGCCATTTGAATTAGTGTCATCAGCAAGTAACTTCTATAAAATTATTACAAAAGATACTTTGGACAGAGAAAAGATGTCATCCTATAACATCACCATTCAAGCATCTGACAAGGGTTCTCCTCTTTTGTCTTCTGTAAAAGTCATCTATTTGGAGTTGGCGGATGTTAACGATAATGCACCTGTTTTTGAGAAGCTGACTTACACTGCATTTGTACCAGAAAATAATTTACCAGGATCTTCCATATTTCATATCCATGCGAAAGATATTGACAGTGAAGAAAATGCTAAACTGACTTACTTTATAGTAAGTAACATTAGTGACAAAGATCCCATATCCTTGCATGTATCTATAAATCCAGTGACTGGAGTAATTTATGCGCAAAAATCATTTGATTATGAGCAACACAGAGAATTCCACCTTCAGGTCATTGCTAAAGACAATGGTTTTCCATCACTGAACAGCAGCACAACTCTAAAAATTCATGTGGTAGACCAAAATGATAACTCACCAGTCATCTTATACCCACCAAGAGATAGTGATGGCCCTGTCTTTGAGATGGTGCCTTGGTCATCTGAACAAGGATCCTTAGTATCTAAAGTGGTTGCAGTGGATGCGGATTCTGGACACAATGCCTGGTTGTCTTATTTTTTGCAAGCGTCTGATCCATCACTTTTTACTATTGATCAATACACTGGGGAGATCACAACATCAAAGGTTTTTCATGATAGAGATTCTTTAAAACATAAAGTTGTGATTATAGTAAAAGACAATGGTCACCCACCTCTTTCTGTTTCTGTGACTTTAAACCTGGTGATTGCTGATAATTTTCAGCAGATAATTCCTGAAATGAAGAAACAGCCAAGCAAACTGGACTCTCAGTCGAATTTACAAATGTACCTGGTAATTGCTTTGGCATTGATTACTTTTCTGTTTGTATTGACTGTGATAATCGCTGTGATCTCTAAATGCAGAGAGTCTAAATCTTTGCCTTCCTTCGGCCCTGTGAATACACACCTATATCATACTGTAGATCCCAGATTTATTTCCCAGTTTAATGATGGAACATTGCAGCTGCCCTACTCATACAATGTTTGTCCAACTCTGGATTCAGCAGACTTCGCTTTCTTAAAAACTCAGCAGTGTGTTCCTGTTGTTCCTGTGGATAGACTAATTGATGCTGATGATTCAGGAATTGGTAATGAAAACATAAGAGGCCCTATAGCTGATGAAAGTCTTATTTTGCAGGTATGTTCAAACTATAATGTTTAATTAGTCGGCATTCTTTAAAACAATATTGCAAATATGTTTAAAAGTCTGTATTGATCCATCAGAGGAGGTCTCTAATGATTTTGTAATTTTTTTTTTAATGAATTTGTAAACAATAGTTTTAAAAAAAGTTCTCTTGATATTACCAGTTTCAAAAAATAGAGATCGGAAACTAAGTTCTCTTGATATTAGCAGTTTCATACAATAGAGATCGGAAAGTATTGTGACCATAAGGTATCCATAGTTACTACACCTACATAAGATCGGTACTGATAGTGAATTCATAAGTGCTTTTCTTTATGGCTTTTTTTTATATTATAGAGTCACAACACTAGTGACTGACTGTATTTATTAAATAAATGATATTATGTGTACTTAACATACGACAAATATTTTATGTTTATGGAAACATAATTTAATGAGGAATTAAACCTTTGTATCCTTAATACTTAAGGAAGCTTTCATCTTATCATCTTTTTGAACTGCATTTGCCATGGTACTGCGCATGTGATCAGCAATGACACCAGACATGGCCTGGTCGGGAGCCTTGGCTGAGATTGTCATACAACATGGGCAGCACAGTGGCTAAATGGTTAGCACTTCCGCCTGGCAGTACTCGGGTCGTTGGTTTGAATCCCAGCCACGGCACCTCCTGCCTGGAGTTTGCATTTTCTCCCTGTGCCTGCGTCTAAAGTTTGGTGGAGGGGGGATTATGGTGTGGGGTTGTTTTTCAGGGGTTGGGCTTGGCCCTTTAGTTCTAGTGAAGGGAACTCTTAAGGTGTCAGCATACCAAGACATTTTGGACAATTTCATGCTCCCAACTTTGTGGGAAATAGTTTGGGGATGGCCCCTTCCTGTTCCAACATGATTATGCACCAGTGCACAAAGCTAGGTCCATAAAACATGGAGGAGCGAGTTTGTGGTGGAGGAATTTGAATGGCACTGATTCCTGACCTCAACCCGATAGAACACCTTTGAGATGAATTAGAGTGGAGACTGAGAGCCAGGCCTTCTTGTCTGACATCAGTGCCTGACCTCACAAATGTGCTTTTGGAAGAATGGTCAAACATTCCCATAGACACACTCCTAAACCTTGTAGACAGCCTTCCCAGAAGAGTTTGAAGCTATTATAGTTGCAAATGGGTGGGTCCCCAACTCAATATATTATATACAGTCATGGCCTACTTGACTAAGACTCACGGGATTGCATTAAAATTCATACACATGTGCGTGGAAAGGCAGGCGTCCCGACACTTTTGTCAATATAGTGTGTGGGCAATATATCACATATAAAAAGGAGAGACGTTCACTTAATATTGTAGTCTGACATAGATGTAAAAGTTCACTGGTTAAAACTAAGGAACCAAGAAGTTTTGCTGTGTTTCGTGGCTGTTTGACATTGAACATCAAAAACAAGCTGTTTTAGCGCGAACTATTATTGCACTTGACACAAGACAGCAAGACTATACATTTTTTTTACAATCACAGCTCATTCTGTCCAGGATGGCACCATTTTTATTTGAGTGTCTTCCTTGGTGATCTACATGCTGGATTACAATGCTGGCTAAGGGATGGCACAGCCTTGTAGATTTTGTGCTCTTTTAAAGAATTCCAGGTTTGAATATTTCAGACATAGTTACATACATTGGTCCAGCTTGGACCAGTGTAACTATGTACAGTATATACTGTACCTGGCCTATGCCCCTGGAAGCTTCTGAAGTAGACACTGTTAATCCACTTGCTCTCCATTCCCATGCTGAGCAGGGTGCCGTGCTGCTTACTGAGCACAGCATGTCAGCCGTTTGACAAGGGCACCATTCAGTGTTAAATGTTCATTGGATGAGGCGGCACTTAAAGGCAGGCCAGTGATGCCATGCTCTCCACTTTGTCTAATCAGAGAATTTGCTTTGTGCTTCATTAAGAAAAGTGCCCTGGAAGCTGCTGAGCAGTCACAACCTGCTGTGTTCACAATGTAGCAGGCTAGGCCTGCTCCAAGTTTGACCAATGTAACTAGGTCACAATGTATCCAAACCTGGAATTCTAGGTTTAACTTTAACTAAAGTTTGACATAGATCAGCATTTTCTGCAGGTTCTTACCTTGTGACAAAGTTATAGTGATGCTGTCTGAACAGTAGAAAGAATGAGGAAATACTTCTTCCTGCCTGCAGATAGTGGCATTATCTTAGGTAGGCAAAGTCATTTGACAAGAGTTCCAGGATGGCCTTCACTGATACAAGTTAGGACTTTTTTCAAAGTTAATAATGTTACTGTTTACTTTAGGAAGCTCAGCTCAATATACCTTTTTGAGCCTGGTGTACCTTGCACGTCCTGTGGCAGGCAGCAATTTATTGTAAGCACCTCCTTTTTCATGTAGCTCATACTGTGCCAGGTCAACAAGGGCACAATAAAAATAACATATTTTGTTTAAAAAGTAATTATTTTTTGGCAGTTAACTATTTCAGCCTAGGTTTTTAAGCTCTTCCAAAAAAATGTGCTAATATTTTTGTGCGAATGTGTTTGTATAATAATTATGAGGTACAGTATTATATAATAATACAATAATACATAGTAACAGTAAAATAAACACATTAGTTTCATGTTCTGGATTTGTTTATATATTTTTAGGAAGCTAAACTCTATAAACCCCACCTTGTCTTGTATCCCAGTGCCCGTAACTTTGTCCTGTGACCCACTAACCCCAACTTTATGGTGTGTCCGACTCAGCCCAACCCTGGCGTGTAATTAAATTTCCCTCACCTTGACTGTGGCCTACTCCCACTAACCTTGTTGTGTGATTATTTACCCTTAATGTTCCCCTAGAACCCAACCTTGTTGTGTGACTATTTCCCCTTAATGTTCCCCTAGAACCCAACCTTGTTGTGTGACTATTTCCCCTTAATGTTCCCCTAGAACCCATCCCATGTGACCCACCCACTTGCATCCTTCTATGACTCTCCTGAATCTTCTCCTGTGATCCACTTCCTCTAACCTTTTCTTGTGACCTGTTCACCCCTTATACAATAATACATAGTAACAGTAAAATAAACACATTAGTATTATGTTCTGGATTTGTTTTTCTATATTTTGAGGAAGCTAAGCTCTATAAACCACACTTGTCTAACTTTGTCTTGTATCCCGGTGCCCCTAACCTAGTGCTGTGACCCACTAACCCTAAGTTTATGGTATGATCGACTTGGCCCAAGCCCGGCCTTTAACCCAGTTTCCCTAACCTTGTTTGTAACCCACCCCCCCAACCTCGTTGTGTGACTATTTGCCCCTAAACTTCCCCTATGACCCACTTCCCCTGGATCTTCCTATGACTTACTCCTCCTAACCTTCCCTTGTGACCCACTTTCAATAAACTTTTCTTGTGACCTA